CATTCATTTCCTTTTTTCACTTTGTTTCTCCACAGCGCAGACAGTCTTTTCCAGAAGCTCCTTTTTCCTGACTTCATCTCCTGCATCTTCTTCAACTTCTTCTCTTCCTCCTTGATCTGCTTTTTTAGCTTCTTAGCCTCCTTCATCTCCAAATCCCTCAACCTCTGCTCCATCACGGCCTTGCGGTTGGACATGCCGTCCACGAGCTCCCTTTCTCCTCCTTTTCTGCTCTCCACCTACATTCAGCATCTCCTTCTTAATACTGAGGATTGCGCTTTTCAGCAGGCAGTTTTCGTTCTCCGGGTCCTCCAGGCAGCTCTACATGGCCGCGTTCTGCTCCCTCTCCTCTTTAAGAGCACTCTCAGCCCTCTCTCGCTCTCTCAGCCCTCTATAGACTTCATCAAGCTCTTTAGCAATCATTAGATTTAGATCAAACAACGCGATTTGCGCGAGCTCCTCCATTTTCTCCTGTTTTTTTTGTACGTGCTGCCTGCTCTGCAAGAAATCTGGATTGTTGCACATGATCGACAGCACTGCTTAACTGTGCTGTGAAAATCAAAGCACTTGTTGCGAATTCTTCTATTACATCCATTTTTCAGGACACTGCACTGAAAACAGCGCAATAACAACGCTTTCAGTTCTCACAGAGTGATGAACACGAAGAGCGCGGTACTGCACTGAAAAGTCTTAAGCTCATAAATAAAAACACAAAGTCGCGAATTTAAATAATCGGAAGTGAATAAAAATCAGTTTCCCAAAAGAAAGCCGGTGCAGTTCCTCGATCAAACGCTAGGTGGCGATGTACCCACACTAACAGTGCTGGAGAGCTCAGTTCATTTCACTGATTCTGTTCCTACAACGAACCACTGATCACACAAAGAAATTATTCGGTCATTATGTGTTCAATGACTCATGCGGCATGTCCAAATATGACGTCATAATGGGAAAGCCGGGGTACATAAATATTCACCCTGCACATTCGACGGCATTTCATATTTGACTCTTCGTCGGAGCGGACCGTTATCACTGCTTACAGCTCGTTCTTTAAAACGCATCTTTTTCACAACAGATTTTTCTTCTTTTAAAAAAAGATTCAAACAGAAATTGAACTTGCACACCTGAAAGCAAGTTTTTTGTCTCCCCAGAATTCTTTTTCAGAGAAAAATTCAGAGGTACAGATATGGAGAAGAACTACCAGAAGAGCAGCTATGCACACCTGCTGTATAGAGAAGTTTCTAATGGGCCGATAACAGTGATACTGCATGCTCATGATGGCCCTCCGGTTGTGTATGCACCTGCTGGTGGACAGGACAGCGGTTCTTTTTTCCCTGACATTTGGGAGAAAGAACACAAAACCGTGAAGAACCCTCCAAAGAAGCCAGGGCCCACCAAGTTTCCACCACTGCCTGTGAAGAGTGGAGCTGGAAACTCGTTTGTTTGTCAAGGCATTGGCATCAACACTGGTCCTCCTGTGAAATGCCATGTGCTGCCAATGGCAGGTGAAACGCTCGCTGATGAGGCTGTTAGGAAGCCCCAGCTATTGAGACGCTCCATGAAGTCCATCCTCATCCAGGCTGCAGCTCCTGTGCCCAAACCACAAGAGAGCTCGCTGGACTTTTCAATACAGGGTGTGACCGTTCCACTGAAGCCGCGTTCCAACCCTGCTGAAGATGAAGATATGAAGATCCCCCCGGCTCCTCCTCCATCACCTGTTCTTCAGCCGAGCCCTCCTCCTCAACCATGTCCCAACCGTGCCAGACAGAGGGCTGCACTAGCCAACAGGCCGGGAACGCAGATCGGTCGGCTGCGGACCTTCAGACCGATGCCATACACCTGGTCCAAGTGGTGCAGCTAAGCTCCTCCACTCTGCAGCAGAGTGACGAGAGCCCCAAAATTCTCAGCTGACCCCATCTCCTGACTTTGTGAAAGCTTTTAAGAAGGCTGAGCTGGAAGCTGAAAATCAGCAAGAGAACCAGCACAAACAAAATGTACCAGCAGGAGAACACGAGGCTCAAACTTTGAAAAGAGGTGCAGAATGAATGAAGGCCAAAAGCAGGATGATGGTTCTCACGGGCCTGATGTTGCTCCCTCAGTGAATGAGCAGGAAATCATCTGCTTCCTGTGTGTATCCCATCTCCCCGAGCCTGTCTGAGGAAGAGGAGGAGGATGAAGAAGACTGAGAGTTGAAGATGCAAATTTGAGACTCTGAGGATGGAGATCATCTTCTAGATTGGACTTCAAGACAACAAGCACCAAAGTACAGGATACCACCGACCACCCTGACCGACACTTTCCTTTACTACAGAATCACCAGCAAAATCATAAATAAATGCATTGTATTCTGGGGCCTTCTTCTGTTTGTTTTATGCATATGTTCATTTTAATAAAGTATAGAATTATAATAAAAAGTATATTAAAGTATATTAAATTTTAAGTATATTAAAATAAAAGTTTAGTTATCTCTTCTGAAGCAGGACAGTTTAATCTCATGTAGTTTGTTGTACTGAACATTAGACTTTCATAACGTATTTCATAAAGAATATCATAATGTCCATTTAAATAGCTTCTCACAAAATTTGCAGGTTCTTTAAAAGGTACCAGACGTAAAACGTACTAAATTCCATCAGTATTGCCATCTGTACGAAAGGTTTGACATTATAAAGCCTCACCAAGTGTAAACAGTGTTTCCATAGAAAATGCCATTATACCATTTTACACTCCATTTTAATAAATAAATAAATGAACATATACCAACAGATCAGGGAACAAATATGTAATTCTAGCTTCAAAATAGTCTTGTCCATTGGAAAATACCATTTGCCTCTTTAGACACATGTTCTAGACAGAAATATGATCATGCTCTGTCTTTTTCTAAAGTTTATTTGAAGACAAACATCTGTATAATATTTTTATAATCCCTGCTAGGAAAACCAGCATAGATCAGCTTAGACAAGTTTAGACCAGCGTGAAATTCATGCTGGTCTTTGTTATTTTTTTCAGCAGGGATAGCAGTTTAATAGATAACAGATAACAGAAAACAGATTCATACGATTCTTATTTGTCCCTGCAGACCTTCAAGTTGCTTCAAGGATCCAGAACATGGAAAGTGATCTCTGTCAGGTTCAAACAGACAGTGGTCAGGTAATGTGACATTGCACTAGTCCTCTATACAGAAATGGACAGTAAATCATCAGGGGTGTGATGCCTTGACGAATATTAAAGTGTGTTCAGTGTCTTTAAGTGTCTTTGGCACGGCTGGTCCTGGTGCTGTGCTGGACAGTCAAGTCTCTTTTTCTACAAAGGACAGTGCTGCAAAATGTACATCACTGCTGGGCCTCTAGAAGGAGAGAAATAAAGAAAAAAATAAATAAAACTTTATCATTTGTATTCAGGTGTGCAAACAAGTAATCACATCAGAAACACAGGGTGGAAAAGAACTACATAGTACACTCTTAGCAAAAAGGGCTCTATATAGTACTACAAAAAGGGCTCTTTGGCTTGTAAGAATAGCGGAACCCTTTTTGGTGCTATATAGAACCCTGTTTAAAAGGGTTTAATATAGAACTGTGTAAAAATGGTTCCACATAGACTTTGTGGTGCCATAAAGAACCATGTTTTGCTTTGTTCAAATTTATTTAGCTCTTATTTAAATTTGATAGACACTTATTGTAAAAACTGAAATGTTATTGCATAGACAACTTCATAAAATGACAGGCGACCATATTATACTTGCAAGTAATTGTATTTATTGAGTTTCATATAAACAGTTCAGCTTCAGTCAATTCAAAATGGCATTTGTCTATATGATGGTGACAAGGCTTGTTCAAAAATGTATTGTGATGCTGAAGCAAATCTACACACACACCAGCTCATATACATTACAGTCAGTTCACAAAGTGAAATGAATACTTGTTTCAGTGTAACTGGAAGAAATCGCTGCTCTTTTTTTAAATTCAAACGCTTATATGTACGACTTAAACTAAAATTTGTCCACACAATGCAGATGGTGTCTGTGGAGAAATTGCAGGATTTATGGTATTGAAATAAACATATTTATTACACAAAAATACAGGGAAAAACTGAACTACACTGAATGTTAAACTAAAAGTTTCAAAAACGTACTATCACATACAGAAAATTAAGCATGTTCAACTGTGAGAACTCCTTCATCCTTAACAGCACCACAAATAAATATTTGAACAACATATACATTTAAGTAATACCAGCTCATATAAAACAAAGTTTTACTCACAGAGAGAACTGAATACTCGTTTCAGTGTAATTGGAAGGAATCTCTCCTCCTTCATTTTAAATACAAATGCTTAAGGGTTATTTTTAAGACCCCTAGGGTTCTCCACCCCAAAGACAAAGTAGGTGCCGAACAATACGGCGAGGGCGAGGGAGATGCACTCTTTCACTATGATCTCCTTGTCTATGGCAACTTTCACCAAGCTGTACCGCAAGGACACTCCCTCCTTACAACCACTGAAATTGCTCTGTCGTGTGAACATCTCCAATGTGGCAGACTAGACAGAAACAGAAAAAGATTTTTAGAGTCACAAAAAAATAGGTAAATTAATAAATCAATGAGTGTGTAAAGGTAGTGAAGTTGGCAGATTCCACTGTGGCTTCATGACTTGCTATATGCTTGATGACAAGAAACTAAATATTTAATTCGTACATTTACCATGTTCTGTTGGTTAATGAATGGGAGTATATTTGTCAAACAATATAAATAATGGTGAAATGCTCGCCACGATCATGGTTGTACTATTAGAGAAAGACACAAGATTTTCTCACTTTTTTACAGCACCTTCCTGGTAGTCATTGAGGGTCTCCAGGCGTATCTTGATCACTGTGGAGTGTGAAGGGTTGGCAACCCTGCGTTTGAGACATCAGCAAATGATGACAGAGACCAAAGCAAATGAATGCTGTCCTACAGTAGAGGGGCGGGAAACAAACACCTGTGTCTTTAAATCACAGTGCCGAAGTGCGCATGCTCTGTTCAGCCTCCGAGGTGGCTGAGGAGAATGGGCTGCTAACGTTAGCTGTCCGTATATTTTGAGTTTTTGCTTATTAGCAAATTTCTCCGTGTTCATCAGTATTTAGTAATTTTCGAACAGGTAACCTAACAGGAAAATGTCAGTTTTCTCCGAGTCGGCTTTGGAGAAAAAATTGGCAGAACTTAGTAATTCTCAGCAGAGCGTCCAGACCTTGTCTCTATGGTTAATCCACCACAGAAAACACTCGAAAACCATCGTCAAAGTTTGGTATAACGAGCTGAAAAAAGGTAAGTTAACCACACTGGTTCCCCAGTGCATCAAACAGTGTTGCACTGTGGCTGCTCTTTTAATTCTGTGCACTTCATCCTGTTAGTTTTTCAAAGCTCGGAAGCCCAGCTAGCTCGCTAGCAGGACCTCAGTCATTAACATGTAACCTGTTTTGGTTGTAAACTTAGCCAGCTAACTCTTATATCTGTAGCTGACTGTTAACCTAGCTAGATTCTTAAACGGGATAGCTGTGGGGAGCCACTTTCAACCGTTAACGTAATTAAGCAGACTGCTCTATTTGGAAGCTCTTGAATCTTGCTGAAGAGCAGCTCACTGGCTTTGCTAGTCTGCTTTAAAAAGCTGTTGCTGCTGGCTAACGTGGGTCCAGTCTGGTAGCTAACGCTAGCTAACTGTGCCACTAGCCCCTGGCTAATAAGCTCATGGGTTAATCAGGCATTTATGACAAGGTTTGCAGGCTGGCTTTGCGTTGATGCTCATGTAGCTAACAGATAAACTGGCCTCATTTCACATTACCGTAATGTTTATCTTTAGGCTTGGGTTCAGCTCATGTTTGCACAGCTGGCTGCCTTAGTCAAATTCAGCTTTATATGTTCGACAAGCACGTGTAGAAGTGTAGTCAGTTAATGAAAACTGCCATCAAGCTAATTTTTCAACATGTAGGCTGCAGTAAATTAATGTGGCTGATTTGCTTTTACAAAATTAGCCAGGTAATGATTATAGTTCTTCCACCAACTCGGTAGCCATTTTGGATCCTTCTCATGGCCCACCGTCTTTTTAAATAAAAAGATAAACTAAACTTGCTCACTGGGATACTGAAGGTCTTTTGCGAAAATGCTCCTACTTTGGTTAACTTGTAACGTTACTACGTATCCATATTTCCAACGTTGTGTAATTTGGTCCCTTGGTTGTGTGTTTGTGCACCTGCAGACAGCATGGCTTTCTAAACTGGAATGGTTTAGCAAGCAGATGAAACAGCAGTCGAATAGCTGGGCCTGCTTCACTCATTTATATTTTTAATGAATCATTTATAAGATGTGTGTGTATATATATTAAGTAATTAATCGTTTATAGTATTTGTGTCAAACTAGCAAACGTAGCTCCAGTCAAAGTACAGATAAGAACCAGTTCATGCCCCTGAAGAACAAATTACCAAACCAATACTCTGGAGAACCCATCACAGACTGAATTTGATGCTGCCTGCCCTCCAGAATTTGGCCTATACACAAAAGTTCAGATTTATTTCCTGCAGGCTTCCACTTCCACTTTCACCTTCAACTAGATCAGTCTATTGCAGGACCCAAATATGTCCTGTCTGTTAACCTACTTTATGAAATTTCAGGCACGAGTAAATTTCATTCACATTTATATCTTGTGACTTTCAAATGAAATAGTAACCAATTTTTTTTTGATTTTTTTTTTCTAAATTGTGCACATTTTTTTTTGTTTGTGCACAAAAAAATTTAGTATCTACAGACTATGTTATTTGTTCAGTGCAGAAGCAGAATTCCCTAAACTGTCTGACAGGTTTTGATGAGCTTAGATGGATGTGATAATGGACAGAGATGAGCTCACTAGGTTTGATTTTAAATTGGTCGCATTATGAGGACACGTGCTTCTCTTCTCACCGGGGTTTCAGAATAAGCAAACGGCCGCAGATTCGTCTGTGCAGCTGCAGTTTGGTGATGATATGAAGGAAGACAAACTACAACCACAACCTTCACTAAAGTTCACTTTCTAATGATTATATTTAACAGAGGTGAAGCCACATGCAGCTGCTTGTCACTGTTTTTACTTGCAGTCAAGCTGCAGTGTTGCGGGCTTTCGCACAATTACAGGAAGAAATGTTCAGCGTCAGTGTTTCAACATCCTCAAATTGAACGCGCAGAAATGAATGAACAGAAAAGCTAGGTTGTGATCCAAAATTGAGAATGTTGGGTTTGTTAAGGTTTGATGCTACTTTGCAGTCTAATATTATTTTAATGAATTCCTATAATATGAAACATCCATGTAAATAAAGAAAATCCAGCGAGTACACTCACATTTTTATCGGTCAGTGTAGTTCTGATTATTTCCTGAGGTCCTGCTACTGAAGTCCAGTTCTTTAGACCCAGCACTGTGTTTTGATCTTTGCTGTTCTTTTGATCTTTTCGTTAAGACAAGGAAATTTGTGTTGTTTATACCCTTGGGCAATTTTGATTATAGGTGTTCTTTTTTTTTCCCAACTAAACAGAAGAATGTTACTTAGAGATGGACTGACGTGTTTGGTAGCTAGTACAGCTTTGCACATGCTTCTTTTTATGCATGTTGGAAAAAAAAAGGAAATACAAATGTGAAGCTAAATCTGCTGTAATTCTTATTTTACCAAGAAACAAAATCGTAGTGTTCAGGATGCTGTTCTATATGACAGACAGAAGAATATATGGATGATTTAGCTTGGTGTCAAGTTAGGTTTTGTCAGTGGAAGACTGAATTTAAACAGTCTTGGTATATAGGTAGTGAAGTGGTGACGGCAATCCAAAGACCTTGCTCATTATATCATTTCATATACATTTCATTGTTTTGTGTGAGATGCTTCTTGTGATATTCTTTAGTCTTGTTTATTCCAGTGATTTCTTCCAGTACATGTGTCAAGACTCCCTCCCAGTTTCCAAATGTTTGGTTCAAGTTGCTGTTATCCATTTACGCTATTTAAGCATAGACTTGTAGAAGCTGACTGTCTTTCTACATTAATGTATTTGAGTTTTTGTAATTGGCTTCCATATTTTGCATCTTTTGTCAACTCTCAGTACTGAACACATGAATTAAAGTATCTGCCAGTGATTATGATTGATTCAACATGTGTAGTGAATCTCAAACTTTGACAAGGTATTTGCTGTTCTTGATACTTATTTAACACTTATTTAAAGTTTTTGATGCTTATTCTGAATAACAGTGTGAAGCTGCATTGCAGTGCCACATCTTCCCAAGGCTATGGAAGTCATATGGCATCATGGATTGTTTAAAAAACTTTGTCATATTAGCCAGATTCTAACTAGCCAGTTAGGTGTCAGCTACATGTCAATTACGGCTTGTTCTATAAAAACCTATGCTTTTATTTGTAGTATTTTTTTATTTCATGGAGTGTTTAAATTGGACTGTTTAAAGCTTCTCATTTGCAGAAAGATTGTCATTATTTGTGAAATGTTTCCTAATTACTCTATTCAGAGCATTAGTTTACTCATGTTCAAAGCATTGTGTATCAAGATATTTGTCATTTTGTGGAATGGTATTGTTACAGCCCCAGTAGATCTTCTGTTCTGTTTGTCCCCATGGGTCACTGTTGCCATAGTGAGTCTGTATATTTTGCCTTTGTTGATTAAACCTCACGAGAGGCCAGTGTATAAGTAACCTGGAGAACTAACCTACTGTTCTATTTGAGGCTCCCTCTGAAAGAACCTCTGAAGATCCCTTGGTAACCTATATTCAGTCATTACTTCAACTAGCAGTTCCACAAACAGCCTAAGTCCTTTGTGATTTTCACAAACATTGTCTGCAAGTCTGTTAGTATTTGGCCCAGTGCTTACCATGACATTTGGAATATGACCTGCCCTCAACCTCCAGCATTGACTTCTGTGACTCTCTATTAACATTTATAATGTTGCATCCTCAACAATATATTCAAACCTCAGCCAGAATTATTTCCCAGTGTAAAAAAAAAAAATTCTGCTTATGTCACTTTTTAGTTACGCTGGTTTTCTATGCATCCTACTGCACATCCACTTTAAACTCCACACTTTATACCTATTGAGCCCTACATGGTCTAGCAGTACTCTGCCTAGCTGAGCTTCACCCCTACTTCTCAGCCTACAATCTTCGGTGTTCTGGCAATGGACTGTCCCTAAATTCAGATTAGTCATTCCTTAAGTGTTATGGAACTCTGTCACACTTTCTCTTTGACTTTGCTCTTCACTCATTCAAAGTCCAGCATAACTTTTCTCTCAACACTTTACTTTGTCTTCCCACTCTTGTTCATGTTAGTTATGTGAATGTGAATGAGACTCTTATTTATTTATTTGTTTTGCTTTACTGTCTTTTGCAGCCCAGGTGTCTCGCAAATTGACCTTCCTCTATCTTGCAAATGATGTCATCCAAAACAGCAAGAGGAAAGGACCAGAGTTCACACAGGACTTTGCACCAGTCATTACTGATGCCTTCAAACATGTCTCCAGGTGAAACATCATTGTTCATACTTGCTCATTTCTCTTTGCATGCTTTTTGGGAACAGAAAATTTTAATGCCTTTTGAAGTTGTCTGCCACTGATTATGGCTTTGTCCATGTTGTGTGCAGTGATGGGGAGGAGGGCTGTAAGAAGCAGCTGGATCGGGTTCTGTCCATCTGGCGGGAAAGAGCAGTGTATGAGAATGATCTGCTGGACAAACTCTCAGAGGTGCTACGTAAGTACATCCTCAAACTATGGATTTTATCAAGTACACTGCTACCCACTATAAATGCAAAATGTGCTACAGCTGGTATGCTCCAATATTGGTGATACTGATGGACTATATAGACTGGTGTGTCCTAGGCCTGGGCAATATCTAAAAATAAGTAGCACAATATTTTCTGATTAAACAACTTGTAATTTAGCGATTTTTATCACCAGTGGAGTTTTCATATTTTAACTAACCACCGGGACGAAAATACTGCAAATTTTACTCAGTAAATAACACACAGCAGACACAGTGGGGAATTTACTCTCTCGTAGCCTTTTAAAGGCCTTGTTATAGTACAGCTTGATGATTTAACAGTAAATGTAAATAAAACATAGTGTACATATTATTTATTACCTTTTTCTGATCTCATTTCCTAGTCGTAGATGGGGATTAGAAGAACTGTTTTTCCAGGTTAGGGCTAGCTGCTCTAGGTAATATATCCACTCAATTCTGCTTGGTTGTTTTTCTGCACACTAAAGCAAGCTGAAGTTTGATAGCACATCAGTATTTTTCTTTGATTCTATACACTTGAGCTAAACTTAGCGTAAGGTAAAATAAGTAGAAGGTAAAAAGCCTTGGGGTCGGTAAAGCTAGCATTACAGTCCGTAACAAAGAGAATGAACAGACAGCTTCTTAACTCTCTCTCTCTCTCGTGCGCTTGCTCTCTCTCTCTTGTGCGCTCGCTCTCTTGTGCACTCTCTCTCACAGAAAAAAACTAGCCATCGGGGTGTGCGCCCATGCACTTCTTAAACATGAACCCCAATTTCCCAACATATTTCAAGTTGTTTAACAGTAAATAAATCCTCTCTACTTCTCTGTTCTTTTCCCCAAACGGCACCTCGTCATCAGGTTACTTGTCCATCATCAACAACAATCGATTACATCGCCCTATCGCCCAGGCCTAGTGCTTTCCAGGCCAGTCCTTGAGGACCCCCCTAGACAGTTCATGTTCTTACTCTAGTGCAGCTACCAACACACCTGAACTGATCAAGAACACAGAATATCTGGCATAGGTGGGCAAAAATGTATATTGGCTGGAGTTTCACTGGGACTAAATTGGAAACACCTGTTAAGTTATAGTTTGAGATGTGCTAGGAACTTTTTCCTCTGTACTGTACTGATTTGTGGGGCTTGGAGTCCTGTTAATGCTGGATGAATGTAGTTCAGTTACAACATGTATTTGAAATATTGTAGATATAGCATGGGTCATTGAAACTTATCTTTACCTAAAGTTTAGTCTTCAGTTCACTTGGTTTCTTTTCACTCTCTCTCACAAAATGACATTTTAGCAGTAGTGTATGACAAATGTACAGACAGCATACAAGCAAATGATTCAGCCACTCAGCCTTATATATTTATCCTAACTGCTGGTGTAAAAGGTACTAATAAGACTGATCTTTATCTGATTACAATGGATAACTTGCAGGTTGTATTATTTCTCAACAGTTTGACAGTTTAGGAGTTACAGTTGTTGGGCAATACTGAGGATTTTGTATAACTGCTAGCTTCAAGCATTTGTATTGAACCTCTTTTTTTGACTGTTTGTTTTGGACCTTATTTAGTCTTAATGTAATGGTATCCTGTACACCAGTGATTCCCATCCTTGTTTCTGGAGATTTACCTTCCTGTGGAGTCTAGTTACAACCACAGTGTCTGCCACTCCTGCTCGAGCTGATGAACTTCAAAAGTTATTGATTGGCTGGATCTGATGTATTAGTGTTGAGTAGATGCAGGTAAGAACTAAACTCTACAGGAAAAGGGTTAGTAATCATTGAACAAATTGTACACGCTAAGTTCTGACAGTGCCCCGATTGTTATGACAGTAATATGTAACTTCAAATAAAACAAATTCTTATTGTGAACAATGTCAAGAGAAGCAGACATGGTAGTTGATAGCAATAATTAGCGAGTGAGTCATATGAATAATGTGAGAGAGTTTGTGTGTGGTTTTAAATACATTTCCTGGCCACATGTCCCAGATGGAGAGAAAAAGGCCAAGAAGAGGCCGTATGAGGAGATTAAAGCACGTGATGAAGACTTTGCCTCTCAGAGCTCACCATCAGAGCCTCCACAGGTACAAAAGAATAACACCTGTTGGTGAAACTATAGGCTATATATATATATATATATATATATATATATATATATATATATATATATATATACCCCCATACCCCCCAGCTCTCCAGCCTTTTTGCTCCAGATTGTAAGGGTATTGTCTATCTCAGACAGCAGATTTGATCCGAGCATTGCAGGAGTTGGAGAATGCAGCTTCGAGCGACTCAGCCCTCCGTCAGAGGATCTCTGCTCTCCCTCCTGAGGTGCAGGACTCCTCCCTGCTGCACAGAGTCACAGGTGTGTGTGTGTGTTTGTGTCTATATATGAACTTACTGAAGCCTTAGAAGTGTGTTGATGCTGTTGCCTTCCAAAGCACATAAATTGTGGGCTGTCGCTTATATTAGTAATTGAGAAAAATCTGAGTATTTTGATGGTCAGTAGTGCAATTGCAGTCTTTAGATTCTAGAATACTAAACTGAGGAGTAAAGTCTTCAAGGCTGCATTAAAAATATGTAATTACATACATTTTTAATTTAATAACAAAGAATATCAGGCTGTTTCTTACTGTAAGAGAAAACTTTTAAGGTCCCAGATCATATGTGACGTTTTCATGAAAATTCCAATTAACAGCTCCTGGTTCATTTGAGTACAAGTAATCAAGGAATCAATTGAGTAATTGTGACAGGCCTACACAAAATGCTGACTGCTGTCACCCTCTTTTAGTGTTACAGCTTAAAATAGGTTTAGACAAATGAGAGGGTGACCCACTTCTATCTTGTGAAATGTCCTCAATTCATGGCACACCCTATTCTGTATTGGAAATCATACTTTGCTTAGTAACGGCTAATGTGGCTTTTTGGGCTTGGTCTGTATGTTTGTCTCAGATAAGGAGTCAGGAGAACGGCTGTCCAGACTGGTAGAGGAGGCTTGCATGCTGCTAGCAGACTACAGTGGGCGTCTGGCGGCCGAGATCGATGACCGTCGGCAGCTCACGCGGCTCCTTGCTCTCTTTCTACAGAGTCAGCGGGATGGCTTGACCCAGAAAGAACAGAAACTAGAAGTGCGTAAACCCGCTATATTTTTCTTATATATTCTACTTGCACTTTCCCACATTCTTTTCTAACCATTCACACCTTAGTAACCTCTACAAATCCTTGTGCATTTCCTTTCCACTGTCTTTGGGTCTTGTCCACTAGAGGGTAGTATAGACTCGGGCATGACAACATATAAGCTTCAGTTCATAGATGCTAACTTTAAAGCTTTATTCTTTCACTAACACATGTGGAGGTAAGTATGACTGCAGATGAAGATTAAAGCAGAATTCCACTGATTGTTCAAAATTTCCAATTGCAGATGTAAACAGTCATTCAGAGAAGTTTGATGTGAAATGGTGCATTGCAAAGAAACTTACTGACTTTTAGTACAGTGGTGATTATAGAAACCAGAGGTCATGATATTTACAGTGCAGATATGACCCTTTTATTTAACACACAAAACCGATCTGTATTCTGTCTATCTTTACACACTAGATATTCTGTCTTCTTGATATATATTAGGTTAATACTAATAGTGGTAAATCTGGAGGAAAAAAAAATTTCTTTGGATGCTATTTTGAGCTACAACACTCTACATGTTCGTATCTGCCCTGCATGTATGTATTTGTTTATTTATTTGTTTTAGGCTACTGTTCTTAAACAATGTCTTGGGCATCAGGCTGCATATTTGTAGCCGTTTCATGTGATTGGAATTCGATGTATGAGGCATATAGTTCCTCTAAAAGCTGAAAATGACCACCACTGTGAATAATTCTGACTTAATACGTTTCTCTAGGATGGCACATTTCACATTAAAGCACTGTGAATGAACTTTGTTTACCATAACAATTGAATTACGAAGACATTTTGGGATGAAAAAATCAGTAGAATTCTCCCGTAATAAGTGTTATTTTATTTTGGTTAACTCTGCAGCCTTTGCCAACAGGTCTCAGTAGGACTCAGTATCCTGTGTCTTCATTCTTACAGATCAAATAAAGATGAAAGAAAATACACAATTCTGGAGTGGGCTATTTTTTTTAACAAGCTTATAAACGTTTCACATGTACATCTTTTTAGTTATTTAAGCATTATTACATAGGCAAACACACCTCGTACTTATTTGAAGACCTTTTTATCGGACACCTGATGTATAGATGCACTCTGAGTATGCAGATACTGACTGTAGCCCTGTTGCTGCATAATTTCTCAGTCACCCTGTCTGTACCATAAGACCACCACTAACACAATATTATTTGAATAGAGGACCACTCTCAGTACAGCAGGGATAATGATGTCAGTATGTATTGTACAGTTATGATTGTGGCAAAAACAGAAGCATCGCTGGGGTTTTAAATGGTGTAAACGAACTGTCCACTTTACTAGACACTTACTTTGTTGGTCAACCTTACAGGTGTATACTTGGAGACAATTGCTCATCTGTTTCTATGCACAGTTTGTGTTAGTCATTCTCTAGTCCTTCATTACTGGCCAGTTTCTGACCGCAGACCTTTGCTGGCTGGAAACTGTTTGGGTGACTGACTTCTCAACCCAGCAGAAAACCTGAGGTGTTTTAAAAACTCCAGCCAAAATGCTGCAACCAATGTACCAGAAAAAACACCTGCTAACATGCCACTAACCATGTCGGTGTCACTGCTGTGCTGAGAATGGTCCAACTGGCAAGTAATATCTGGTCACCCATGGCCTTATGTCACATGTTGAGATCTCCCCTGGGAGTCTGGTTTGTCAGTCTGTTCTTATGCTCTCAGAGTGCACTTTATGCTCTTCACTGAGAATGGATTGAGTGCATGGATAGTATGGAGATTAAGGCACAGCTTCAGATGTATCACGAATAAGTGTTGCTGATCTCTGATTTCTGACCTCAAATGTCCCAGTTGTATAATCTTTAACGTTTAAGAAAAAAAAATAGAAGGAATGCCATTGCTAATTCCAAAGTGTTCCAAGTGAACCATTGGTCTAACTTTCATTTTATCTATATCATAGATCTATATCTATCCTTAAACGTAACCTTTTTTCCCCCTACGCTATGTAATCGCTGATGGAACAGAATCTTCAAAATGATTCACAGAAGAAGGACATGATGTTCCTAACTTTCTGTTAGTCTACTCATTTCTGTTGGTCTACTCATTGTGAAATTTTGACCCAGTGTAAAGGACAGCTGTTGTTTTCAAATCATTAAAACAACTAAGGTTTTCTTCTGACAGTGAGAATACAACACATTTTTTAAGCCACATCTAGCACGAAGGTTTTGATGGTGACTTCTAGTAATGTAGGTCCATTTATTTACTTTAAAAAAATAGTAACATAATTTAATTGATTTAATTTGAGGAAACCTACAGCATTACTGCCTTATTGATGTGGGTTTTTTAAAGTGAACAGGTACAGACATGCTTTTAGGACTTTTCTATTTAAAGGGTTTTTAAGAAAGCCATTAAAGATGACTAAAAGATCTTTGTGTCTTAGGCAGTAATCCACAAATGTAGTCAAATGAAATGAATCCTGACATTAATGTGTTTCTCAATGTTCTAAATATTGTTTGGATTTAATTAATTTCAGAGGAAGATCAAGTAAAAGAGGTAATCACTCCTTAAAATACCTATAATGAAAGGAGTTGGCAATCTTCAATACTTCCTCAACTGTACAAATCGTGATTCATGTCTCATGATTTACATGTAGGACGGAACAGGAAAGTCCCTTTCAGGAGTACTTGTTGAGGATCTAACAGTACAATGTATCATATTGTATCATTGTGTCGTGACTAGCGTATTTGCTCGTGGACAGTGTGTTAGCTTGTGGATAGAGCATTAGATTGGGACACTATAAAGCAAAGCTTTTGTTTCAAATACTGTACTTTTATAATGTTGCTCTAATAAACTGAAAATAGAAATATTAACATATTACTGTGGAGCACATGCTCAGCCATTCATTATTTTTGCCGTATGAAAATGAATCAAATTATGAATATGTTTGTACTGTTGCTCTCTTAGTATTTGTCTTTCCTGTAAATTAGTGTTCATTCTGTTACATGTGTAACTCAAACCCCAACAGAACACGAAACAAGAAAAACAGCTTATGGTCTCTTGGGCTCATTTAGGGAAATTGAAAAATATGCTTGTGAAAGTGCTGTAACTGTTGCACGGTAGTTGTAATTTTGCATTGCACACCTCAGTACACTTCAGATCATTGAATTCTCAGTGCAGACATAAGTGTTACGTATTTAATTTATTCTGACCATTGTGCAGAGTATATATAGCTTTGCTTACAGATAGAAGAGTTAGGCCTTATTGTGATGACATGATGATCTACCAGCAATGCTGTAATTCTACATCATGACAGTTTGTTGTGGTCCTAATGTTCTGAGAACATTTTGAAATGCTTTTTTTAACCAGTTTTACACTGATTACTGTCTCGTCTAACAAATCAAATTTATTGTTGTTGGTAATTTTATACATCACTACCCAGTATAGCCTCTAATCACCATATTTTTGTGTGCATTTTAGGAGTACAAGCGTAAGCTGGCGCGGGTTACCCAGGTGAGGAAGGAGCTCAGATCTCGTCTCAGTAGCCTTCCGGACCTCTCTCTGCTTCCTAACGTAACGGGTGGTCATGTCCGGCTGCCCTCCTCTGGTGATCTTTACAGCCCTTCTGACTGACTTGGACACACTTTCCTTCTTTCCATACGTCTAAAGCTCCAGCTTTCACTCCCATACCATAGTCTTGAGGACTGTCCTCAAATCTTACGTGTGCTCTCCTTAGCCTGTGATACTATCAGTACGTGGATGTGTCCTGGACAGTATAAGGCCAAGCGAGGATTTTAATGAGCTGAGAAGCCTATGAAGTCTTGGGTTGGTGCCCTTTCTTCCCACATGTTGTAAAAGAGGATGTTACACAAGCCATGTTTCAAAAGCCCATTGGTAATGTTTCAACTTATTCAGCCTGAATATAACTGAAATTTGAAATGAATTTGAAAGTGAAAGTGAGAAAGCAAACTGAACAAAGACCAGGTCTCATCATTATTCAGATCCTTAAAGCATTCATAACCAGCCAAGAAACGTAATTGAGAAAACTACTACTTGCGGACATGCAATCACTTTAACAGTGACATAGATACTTAAGCCTTTCAGTGTGGTGGAACCTTTTCAAACACTTTCAGCTCTTATGTTGACCCTGTGAAGAGTTTACAGAAAGGTATACCCTTTGGTTAGACATTACTGTTGGTGCAAAGGTCCATGCTATCCCAAACTAATTTAGTCTTATCACAGTCAGCGATTAAATTGTGTTTTGATTTGATAAGGCACTATCAAATCAAAATGCTTACTTATTCTAAAGCCAATAGATATCTCTCATGATTTTGGGATCACCACCTTCCTGCTAGAACTGCATGATTGTGGTTGAGATTTGCTGTGATACTATTTTTGTATATATATGGTGAATTTTAGAGAATTCACTGGAGTATAGAAGTAGTTAAACAGGTGACTTGTGGAAATCTTCAGTGCAGTATCTTATAATCAACTGCAGTATTTTATTATTGAAATGATTGCAGCATATTGCTATTTCATGTCTCAGAGTAATATGTTCCCAGGTGCTGTAGTTGAAAGGTTTTCTCCAAGTGCTGCAAGGAGAAGTTTGCTTTTTTAAGTTCAGTGCTGAGATATTGATTCATGGTTTTCTTAACCATTTGCTTTCATCATGGTCATGATGTAGTGCGACAGATACCTGGGGTTAATAGAAACTCTTTGAAAGTCTATACATTTTAAAGGTCTACCAAAGGTAGGTGGCTCCTCTTCTGTCCATTTTATTTTTACTTTATCAATATTTGATCTTAAATTAGGGGCAGTATTTTAATTGGGCATACAAATTTAAGTTCCTTAACTTCTATTCCATCAGGGTCCTTAGGTGTTGTTACATATGCATCTTCAAAGACTTTGGGCTGAATTTAGATGGGGCTGAATTAAGAGGAGTCTGGGTTTCTCGTGGGGAGTTTGTTGGTTGAAGCATTCATCTGGTGTGCGTGTTTACTGTGTAATTGCTCCCAGGTTTGTTATCTGTATCTGCAAATGAGTTGAACAGCTAATCATTTCCTTTGTAGAATATGAAGGAGCCTGTTGTTGCCTATGAAACCACAACTTGTAACTTATTTGCAACTATGTATTTTAACATCAAACCTTTGTAAAATGTTCGGATACCTGAACCAAATAAACAGAAACTTTAGAAAATGCGTGGGGAGAGCACCTCTGGAGTTATTCATTGAAACAATAACATGTACTTTTAAGAGAATTACATCACACTTGAAGTCCACCTTTCATCTGATGTTTTACCTCCTAACATGATGTGTATTTGTGGTGAGTCACTGGTCAGATCACTGCCTTTGCTGGATGGCTTCTAGCTAGGTGCAGATCTTGTCCACCTGCTCAATCTTTCCATCTCTACTTTCCAAAGAAATTGTTGATTTAGCAGAGAAGCCACAACAACTACATTTCTACTGGGTAAAGTTGGCCTCTCTTTCCCTTACATTTTCACCTCATCAATAAAACATAGTCACAGTCAGGGGATCAGTCTGGCCACTGTAAAAGCTTCAGGGGCATTTCACTCATTTTTTGACAGCATTCAATCATTCAGCAAAGTAATTTAATATAGAGTGATTTGGTGTGAAATGTGCCATGAAATATTTATATTGCATCATGTCAGAGACATTGTTTTGTAATAGATGTGAGATATAGTTTTCTTTGTTTTGTTTTTTTTATTATTGTTTTTGTTTTTACAGAGTACAAAAAATAATATCCTGCACCACATTGATCTCCATTCCTACACCCCATGCAAAACAACTTTGATAAAAAAAGAAGCACAGAACAAAAAAATTGCACATGAGCATTTACACAAATCTGAAGTATTTGGAACAATGTACTCAAACGAAACAAAAACAAAACTATTTGGCAATAATTCAGCTTGTCCTATCTGAAGAAAGAAGGGTTGTGCATATGACCCCAAGAACACCATACCCACAGTGAGGTACAGAGATGGGAGCATCAGGATGTGGGGCATTACATGTCATTGAAGGAAAATATGTACCAAGATATATCAAAGCAGAATTTAATCTCATTGGCCAAATAACCTTATCCAGAGAGAAGATGGACGTTTCAACAATACACAGACCCTAAACATATTGCCAAAATAACTATACAACTCTCAAGTTGAATCCCATTGCAAATTTCAAATTCATGAATTATTTTGAAATTGTGAGTCTATCAGAGGGACCCTCCTAACCTTGGAGAATTGAAGACGTTTGGGCCAAAATTAAACCACAAAGCTATAAAAAGCTAATGATTTCTTACCAAAGACATCTTGCAGCTGTAATTGACAACAGCTTTGCAACAAAGTGCTAATATTATTATTACCTTTTTTCCTATCAATTTATTTATGAAAAAAATGTAAACACATAAAGGTTCACTGGTCATTTTGGGTAGTAAATTAAATATCTGGTTCCGATCATCACCATTGTAAAGAAAATCATAGCCAGCATATTTCTCTATAATGCACCATTTCACATCAAACCACTCTGAATTAGTGTTTATAACTACACAACTGAATTATGCAGAAACTTCAGCGACTTCCCCTTTAATTCTGTGGTCCATTTTTGTGTGGATTTGGAGGTTTGCTTTGGATTATTCTCCTGATGGAGGATCTAACTATGACCCAGTTTTGGCCTTTGGCCTGAAGCAGCCAGATTGTGAAAATATTCTGGTGTCTTGTACCGTAAACAGATTCTCAGAGCCTTTGGAACTAAAATACCCCACCACCATAGAACGACCACCTTACTTCATACTGGAAATAAGGCTTTTTTCTATGACCTTGATTCAGACACTTCTGATGTATTAAGCCAAATAGCTCTAGAATTGTAGCATTGAAGCATCTGATTGTAATTTCAGAGAATTACAGACTCCAGGTTGCTAACAAGTGCAGCTGTTTTACTGTGATACTTCGGGACAGTTTTGCTTATTTAATCATCCACAGTGCGTGAGGGCAAAACACACTTGCGTTTAGTAGGCGATTTTCAGGCTTAAAGCATTTGTATAATAGCCATTTAGGCTAATTTTTTTTCACTTGTTACTCATATTTATAGCCTAATGACAGGAAGTCAGGGATGACCACGTAATTTCCTATAGACTCAAACTTAAGGTGTGCTTCAAAATGTATGAAAGGGAATATACTGGACAACTGTATGCAAAGATTTGATCATGCTGGTCAAATTACATGGTTTCTTGATTTTCTTTGTGCAAACAACCATAAATTTAATAATCTAAAAAAAAACATTTTTTTCCATTATTTTTGCACAGGCCTCATTTTATGTTTTATTACTCCTTAATATGTTAAATTCAGCAAATAAACAGTAACTATGCAGTAAGGTGTGTAGATGTGTGTTCTCTGTAGAGGATGTGTTAACATATTTTGTTAATTTGCTAAGTCAAAATATGTTTTTTGACCAGGGGTGCCCAAAGCTTAGCAGACAACTGTATATTGGTCATTTTTTATTCATAAGAACGTCTAGCAGTGGCAATAATTATTGCTCACTGAAGGATCAGGATTCATTCATTCAGTTTCGTCTGAGTTTTTATATGTAGTACATCATATGTATATATATATTCATGATGATGAAACAGTGGTGAATCTGAAAAAAATATTTTTGGGGACTATTTTGCCTTAGAGTGCCCTGCGTGCACCCCATCGCCACAAATAGCTTTTTAAAAATATGTTTAGGGTCCAAAATCTTCTCAAAACTATTGTAAAACAGTGTCTCAGACATCAAGCAATGTGTTCATAACCACTTAATGTCACAACTTTCTGTGAGGGAGCTTTTAGGAGTAATAATCTGCTTCCTCTCAACACAACTGTGAACAATTTGGAGTTGGGAAGTTTCTCTAGAACAGAGCGTTTCACATCAAACTGCTCTGAATGACTTTGTTTACATCTTAACCAATTATTTATGAAAAATCCCCTTTAAGTTCCACTGTCACTGTCATATACTGCTTGTTTGTGTCTGTTCATAGGGTGGTCACCAAAGATATTGTATCAGAATCTTAAGGAATCCTCAGCTGACTGTCATTACCTAACTGGCTTTTCAGTTTTTACTGCTGGAAGCTCCTGGTTCTCCAGGGCTGACAAAGTTGATGACCTTGTGACCTTGGTGGTGGCTCTCTTTATCCTCTGGCCAGAAAGCCTCCGCCAGCAGCAGGTCTAGGAGAAAGACACACATCAAGCTGTTAATATGTGCTCGATAGTGCCAGGTCACAAGCGCCACTTCAACTCATCCCTAAGGTATATGCCCAGTGCTCCTGAGCTTTATAAATGGTGGTCTTCGTCTCATGTTCAGCTGCTCCAGACCATCCCATTCTCTTGAGAATATACAAGCTGTGTGTGTGGAATGGACGTAAGTGGAAACCAAAAAATAACGTCATGTCTTAGACAATATACACAGGCATATGCAAAAGTTTGGGCACTCCGGTCAAAATGCATGTTTTCTCGATTTTCTATCTTGCAAAATGAAATGAGTTATGTTAACTTTAATCAGACTAGTTAAATTAAGCTCTCGTTTAATTACCCCTAATTAAAAGACTTTTAAAACAATTTTAGTGCTTTACTCAACAATTGTTGAGACTCACTGCCTTAACCTGAAAACAAAACATCATCATCATGAGAATAACAAAAACATTTAGCATGAGAACATGCTATAACACAAAAATAACATTAATTAATAACGTTAATAAACAGAAACCAATAAAACTGCAAAGAATGCTGGGTAGCTTTTTGGGCCAAAGACTCTTCAGTCTGTAGAACTTATCCAAATCAGTGTATCCTACATAGCTTTACTTAAGTAACGAAGGTCAATCTTTGGAGGATGATTTTACAACAGCCTACAGAAAAAGTATGGAAAGATTAGCACGTAGTATTTTGTCTGATCCATCGCATGTGCTATATGGTGAATACAACATTTTGCCTTTGGATGGACGGTTTAGAGTACCAAAGCCAAGACTTACAGGTTCAGAAACTCTTTCATCCCTCAGTCAGTTGTAATGCTTAATCAAAAGAGTAGGTGTCATATATCATATTATGTCATTATATAAGAAATAGTATATATACACATCTGTATGTATCTATATAAACACACCATATGGACAAAAGTATTGGGACACCTACACATTTGGAGCTTATATGACATCCCATTCTAAATCCATAGGTTGGATGAGAGGGCCTGGCTCACAATCTCCATTCTAGTTCATCCCAAAGGTGTTTGATGGGGTTAAGGTCAGGGCTCTGTGAGGGCGAGTTGAGTTCTTCCACACCAAACTCACCCAACCATGCCTTTATGGACCTTGCTTTGTGCACTGGGGCTCAGTCATGCTGGAACAGAAAAAGTTCTTCCCCAAACTGTTCACATATAGTTAGAAGCGTACAGTTGTCCAAAATGTCTTAGTATGCTAAAGCATTAAGATTTCCCTTTACTGGATTTAAGAGGCCTAGGCCAACCCTGAAAAACAACCCGCATTATCCCTCCTCCACCAAACTTTACAGTTGGCACAGTGCAGTCAGGAAGGTAACGTTCCCCTGGCATTCACCAAACCCAGACTCGTCCATCAGACTGCCAGATAGAGAAGCGTGATTTGTCATTCCACAGAATACATTTCCACTGCTCTAGAGTCCAGTGGCAGCATTACACCACTCCTTCTGACGTTTGGCATTGTGCTGGTAACCTTTATGCACTATGTGCCTCAACATTCAGACACCCCGGTGTGTAACTTTACATGGTCTGACACTTTGTGGCTGAGTTGCTGTGGTTCCTAAATGCTTCCACTTTTCAATATTACCATTTACAGTTGCTGTGGAATATCTAGGAGGGAAGAAGTTTAGAGAACTGACTTGTTGCAACAGTGGCATCCTATTACAAAACCACGCTCTAATTCAGTGAGCTCCTTAAAATGACCCATTCTTTCACAAATGTGTGTAAAGCCAGACTGCATGGCTAGGTGCTTGATTTTATACACCTGTGGCAAGGGAACTGAATGAAACACCTGAATTCAACGATTAAGAGGTGCGTCCCAATACTTTTGTCCATATAGTCTATATGTGCCTATATACATATAACCTGTGTGCTAATGTCAGTTCTGCTCTGCACTAAAAAAATCTCAAGACGTCCCATATGAAAACAAAAATACACACACACACACACCCACACCCACACACACACACACACACATATATATATATATATATATATATATATATATATATATATATATATATATATATAGACTTATTTCTTAAAGTCTTTTTTCTTGTTTTTTTCCTCAGTGTACTTTAGTATTTGGAATATATAGTAATATATTTTGAAATAAAACAACGTATTTGACATATAAATAACATACAAGTCCAACAAACTGTCTGGCTATTTAGCGGACATTGTATCATGGATATAACGCTCATTACCCATCAAATACCGTTAAAAAGCACACAGCACACAGCTTCTACATTTGCACACTTAGCTATGCAGCTCGCAAAGAAAAACGCTTTATCAGTCTCCAGTGTTAACCAAGGTTCAGCCGCTACTCTGAGGCGCTCGGCTTCCTTTGAGGTGCTGCGAGCAGAGCAGCTTCTACATTTGCACACGGTTCCGAGTCACAAGGCTTCAAAAAGCAGCGCAGCCCGCTGATTCTCCGGGATGCTGCGAGCGGCGAGCTGAGACACTCAACTCCACATTCACTTTCCTCTCGGTTTTTAACTGTTCTTTTTCGTCTGCTCTTCTCAGGAATGCAAGGAGATACACCTTTTCTGTAATTCTTCTGATTATTCAGCTTTCTATATTTTTAAAGGAATTAATCGTGAAGCAAGTCAAGTAACTCACAGATAAGAGTAGGGAAAGTCAACCATGTTCAGAAACGATGCGGAAAAAGCTCTCCTGCTGAAGGACAAACCTGCCAAAATGTACACCATCACGGCGGGAAGGTAAAGTACTCAACGCTTTTGTGAACTGCTGCTTTCAAATAAGTGTGATAGTTACAGTCTCATGTTTCGTTTGTGTGTCCAGCTGTGCTGATTTCTGAAATCCGTTTAGTCTTTGAACTAAACGCTTTTTCTTTCTTAATTAAAAAAATAGCCCGTTTCAGTCAGGAGGGGTGCCTTTTACACACGGTGCACAAAGTTTGCGCTGCGCCCTCATCCTGTGTGAGCAGTGGTGCCGGGGGGAGTGAGGGAGGGAGGGGAGGGGGCGGGGATTCCTGCACGAGATGCTGTGAAGAATCCTGATCTAGACTGCGCTCCAATATGCGGACCTGTCTGTGTTTGTGTGTTCTAATTAGAAACGGATAGCGAGTGCGTATTTAAGCGCTCTAGTGAGAAGACGAGCGCGCATACTGGAGCGCAGCCATAATCTTAAACAGCTCCACACGAGACGGTCCGCTCGAGACAAATGACAGGCTAAAGAAATGCGAGTTTGTGATTTGAAAAACGTTGTTTGGGGCTATTGCTTCAAATAACATGTCAGACGATGATATAATGATAATGTTTCGTCGTATCTCAACTTTTTAAAGGTATTTTTTTAGTAAGCCGAGTGCCCGAGTCCTAACACAGTCGCGTGAGTGCTTGCTGTGATTATTTCTGAAAACTGGCAGTGTGCAGTAGGCTAATCTCCTCAGGGAGTGACCACATACCACAGCTCCAGGTCTGCAGCATGGCTATACAATAGAAAATGCAGCTGACATAAAAATTCTCATTTAGACATAAATTATACTTCCAACTAGGGGCAGGTAATATGGAAAAAAATGTCATATCACAATGAAGACATTTTCAAGATATTCAAGATACACGATATGCATCACAATATTTAATTATATAAATAAAATAAATAAATAAATAAATATATACATACAGCTACAAAGTTTTTTATTGAATGTTTTAAAGATGCTCTCAGTTTGCTCACTTTGAAGTGTTCTTTAAGAACTGATGATATCCATTATATGCTCAGAAAAGCATACTGTGGCATAATGTGTCATGATAACAGTAAAATAATGTCATATTGCCCACCCCTACATTTAAGTTACCTGAACCTTACATAGTATAGGCCTCCTTCTCATACAGCAAATGAGTGATAGCACAGTAGCATTACTTTACTTTTATCCGACCCACATACCACCGCTGATGAATTTGAGTGCTGGAACATTTATTTACTATTTGGTGTTCAATGGACACAAAAAGTCAATCATGAATCTATTTAGACTTTATTTAACTTAACTAAATAGAAAACTAGGATGTGTAGTAGTAAAAAAAAACAAAACAAAAAAAATTGTCACATAGGCCAGCATACTGTAGATCTCCGCCTGAAGTGGCCCAGATCTATTTTAAGACGTGTGCCACTTTTGGCTTGCGGCTTGCTAGCAGTTTGCCAGTGCTGGCAGTGGGTCATCAGTGACATAAGTTCGCCAGAAGTGGCCCATATCCACTCTGTAAAAAATGGCTGGTCAGGTCAATCGAAAAAAATACTTAATGTAACAAGCAATTGAACTAGTTTTATTCAACTCATAAAATGACATTAATTGAAAGAATCGTTCATTTAAAATATTTGTTTAAGTTGAATAAAAGTAATTTACTTGTTACGACATGAAGTATTTATTTTAGGTTGAATTGATGAGCCATTTTTTACAGTGCATCTGTAAACATCTGTTTACAGTCTGGGTTAGTAGAAATTACATGTCAGTATCAATGAGTGTTTGGCTCATTGATACTTTATATCAGCAGATTTAAGCAGACAATGAATTGGATATCAGTGGGAAGTAAACAATGAATCATATGCAGTTCTGTAACAAATCTAGCCTGAAATAGCACAGACTTGCATTGTGTCTTGTAATGTTGTTAGCTGTGAATTTCTTCATGATGTAGTAGACTGAGTACTTTGAGCATTATAACCTATTTTAAATGCTCATCTTAAGTGCTTCAATATAAATTAACTCATTTTAAATACTACACTAATTTAAATACTATTTTTTTTATATGTTGAATTGATGAGCAAACAAATTACTTCATGTGGTAACAAGTAAACTGACTAGTTGTATTTAACCTAAATAAATACTTTGAATGAAGGATTCTTTCAATCAAAGTGTTTTTGAGTTGAATACAACTGGTTCAGTTGCTACTACAGTTGCTACTAAGTATTTTTTGGGTTAAACTGACAAGCCCTTTTTTTTACATCGTAGTTCTTTTTAAAGAAGAAATGTTGGCTCTGTACTGCTATCGGCTGACACTCAAGATTTCAATAAATGGAAAATAAATAATGGTATTGGAAAATAAAAAGTGGTACCATGTCATTTCTACTGCTTAGTGTACTATTGTTTTGTCTTCCCTCCTAGTCTGCCTTCTGGTGAGACAGTGCAGAATGACATTAAGCACTGTCATGACAGCAGTCGTGCCCTTGAGGACAGAGAACGGGAGAAAAAGCTGGCCAGGAAACGACTCTACATCGTCTCTGCGGTTTGTCTGGTCTTCATGGTGGGAGAAATCTTAGGTGTGCCTGCTGCACTTTTCCTCTCTGCCACTGAGTTGTGCCACATTACAGATAAATCTCTGCAAGCATTTCATTTGCTGTAGCTGTAAGAAGATGACCTACTTAGTCATGCATCCTGTTTTTGGTGGTTTTGTGTGGTTGTCTGAACAGGTGGGTACTTTGCTGGCAGTCTGGCGGTGATGACTGATGCTGCCCACCTGCTGGTGGACTTAACCAGTTTCATCATCAGCCTGTGCTCCCTGTGGCTGTCGTCCAGGCCTGCCACACACACACTCAACTATGGCTGGCATCGCGCAGGTGGGACATTATCGTCATCATTATTGCATAAGTTTGCATTAATAAAGTCACTGAACTAATGCCTGAGTACTAGTACTGGTAATGCTAAAAGAACGTCTTACAAACCTGAAAGCTTATTTTGATCTAATTTTTTTTTGTTTTTGTTTTTTTTTTCCTTAAAATGACTCCAGGAACTTTACATTATATTCATAAACCTGATTTTCAGAAAGAAACTTATTTTTTTATTTATGGGTTTAGAAATCATTTGAAGAACCCAGCAAATGATTGAGGATAACTGTCATGTCCTGCATACCATCTATAAAGCACATATAATAGAATCTAAAAAACTAAAAAAAAGCTGTTTGGTAACTGGGAGACTATTTTTTATGAAATAGTACGTAATATAATGTTTGTTATCAGTGCCACTAATACTGAAAATCAGCATCACAGTGTGACCGGTATAAACAATATATATCACTTAGCACTAATCCCCAACATCATCATCATTACCTTGCCATTTATTTATATGTTTAAATTCTTTCTTTCTTTATTTATTTATTTCACTGCCATTTAAGGAATTTATTTTGGAAATCTCTATGTGTTCTCAGAGATCCTGGGCGCTCTTCTGTCTGTCTTCACCATCTGGTTGGTAACTGGTGTGTTGGTGTACTTGGCAGTGGAGCGTCTTATCAGTGATGATTATGAAATTGAGGGCACTGTCATGCTCATCACCTCTAGCTGTGCTGTGTTGGCCAACATCATGTGAGTGGAATGTGGTTCAACTGTTGTCAATGGGCATTCCACATGAGTCATGACTAAATGTTTACCCGCTGCCTGAAATCCATGCAATCTGCTATTTGTTACAGTATATTAGTGAGAATATTTTGTTATTTTTATTATAGTGATTTGGCAAGATTGTTCTGGCCTTTTTTTGCCTGAGGCTAAACTACAATTAGCTCTTGGTGTTTACAATCAACCCATTCACTTAAAACAACACTATGTCCATTGTAAAAATTCCTCTGAAATAAAAACGTTCTTTTAATGCTGAGTTGAACGGGTCTTAATGTTCCTCTATCCCCCTTTGCTCACAGAATGGCGCTCACTTTGCACCAGTCAGGACATGGTCACAGTCATGGTGGTCTTAGCTCCCATGGCCATGGACACAGCCACTCTGGTGACCACAGCCATGAAAAGCAGAATGGTCATAGCCATGCTAATGCTAATGATAAGCACCATGATCCAGAAGACCAAAGAACTGGAAAGAAACCACAGGAGAATGCCAGCGTAAGGGCTGCCTTCGTGCATGTGATTGGAGACCTTCTGCAGAGTGTCAGTGTGCTTGTTAGTGCCCTCATCATCTTTTTCAGGGTAAGAGGTTATGCTGCCCTAATGTTACTTCCAATGCAGCTTAGAAATATTTGCCTATTAAAACACTCCATTCCACACTGGCAGTGTTGCTAATGGACCGACTACCATCTTTTCTACAGCCAGAGTACAAGATTGCAGACCCTATCTGCACTTTCCTGTTCTCCCTGTTTGTCCTGGGCACCACTTTCACCATCATGAGGGACATTCTGGTGGTCTTAATGGAAGGTATTGGCTCCCTCCTGAAGTCTCTAGAGCTTCAAAATAAAGATTCAATTTAGATTGAGTTAAAGTTCCTCAGTCTCAAGAAAACAATGTTTTTCTTTGTGTATGTCACAACTCTCATCTGTCCTGTTTGATTGTAATGATGTCTTATAGCCTATTTGTGAGTATAACCATGTGTATGTATCTCCTGCAGGAACTCCCACAGGTGTGAACTTTAAAGAGGTGAGGGAACGACTGCTCTCTGTGAAGGGAGTGAAAGCAGTACACAACCTCCACATCTGGGCCCTGACCATGAACCAGGCTGTTCTCTCTGCCCATGTGGCTATAGGTGCGAAACATGTTTTACTGTGGGTCTAAACAATTCTGATGTACATTTGACTGATGAGGTCAAGCATGATATTCTGAACAATACTAGAACAAAACAAGGTAAAACAAGGCCTGTAATGTCATTATCAGAACCGTTGGCTTAGCATGAGCTAAACAGTATGATTCAGAGATCTGTTGGACAAAGACATCATTAAATAGTCATCGTCCACCTCTGAATAGACTGTAGTAATTAGAATGCAGATTTCAAAGCCCAAGTCACTAAATCCATCCTATAATTATGATCCTAAATGGATTAAAGATATATATTCAATGCAGTTGGATTTATATTGGTAACATTTGCTGTCAGAACAAAACCTTGTATCTCGAAAATGATAACTTTCATAGGAGAAAGAAAAAACATTCTTAATTTTTAATGGAGGTTAATGTAAATAGATTGTTGTTATAAGCAATTTTGGACCATTTCTGTTGGTCCACTTGTCATAAAATTTTAACACAATGTGAAGGACAAGTGGAATATTTAAATTATGAAAAGAAAGGACAACAATGGAGATGTTTTGTCGCAACAGCGATAATATATAAATGTGTCATTGTATACTTAGCTTGTGTATTGTCTTGTATCAGCTCTCTTACTGAGTAGATAAATATGTTTATTGAAAATTGCTGTGTAGGTTCAGTCGTTAATGTGTCTTTAATGCTGTTTCCCATGTCAACCTCCTCAGATGATACTGCAGAGCCACAGCTTGTTCTGAGAGAAATCACCCAGTCCTGCTTCACCACTTACAGCTTCCACTCCATCACCATCCAACTGGAGCAGCAGGCAGACCAGAGACCGGACTGCAGCCTTTGTCAGGACCCCAAAAACTGAAGCCCCCTCCACACTGAGCCCTCCCCCAACTCTCTGCCAAGAAGGGCAAGAATTCTTTTTAGCTCAGTTAAGATCCTGTTGTAATGCAGTGTTTCACATATTTACCAATCAAACCAAAGACTCATTGGGCTGCTCAATCTTGGACCTTGGACCTCTCTGTTTCTTGCAGGAGTTTATTGGTGGGGGATTCATGCCAAAGTCACATGATTACCTGATTACAAAATACGAGATTAGGAAGGTTCTCCTTTACTCTATTTTGGAGATTACACTGTATTTCAGTACTGTATAACTCGACTTACTGTATATTATTAGATGTCATTTTTAGTGGAATGTGTATTTTGTCTATCACTGGAGATGCCTGTTAGTTCATTTTATGAGAATATGATGACTTTACATACATTTTATTCAGATGAACAAAGTATCTGATTCTTTTTTTGAATGCAAAACTCTTTATTAGCAATATCTTTGTCACATAATTCTTCCATCTGTTGCTCTGTATCAATTAAAAAGAGCAGAGTTGTATATAAGGTTTGATATCTTTCCAGCCATCTATGTCTATCGCCCACTCTGAAGGCTAAGTGTTGCTCGGCAACAGAAACATAGTCGGTCATTGTCTTGTTGCTCACGTTGATCCTGGTTTAATGCTAGCACTTCTCTCTGACCTTGAGAGCCCCTGTGTGTAATAGAGGGTCTGGCACTGTGATAGATTGGCTCTATTAGGTCTCAGGGGCTTCTGTGACATTGACCCTTCAATTCTGACACCTTCGTGGTGTTGACCCTTCGCTCTCACTGTGAGCCCTGGCTCTTCAGGTGCTGCACTATGTCATGACACAAAGTGCCTAGTAGATTATTAATTAGGATTTATAGATTATGATCAGATTATGTCATAGATGATAGTGCATAGATGATGGGATTGTCTAGATACCTCAATGTTATTTTTGATTCAGAGTGCCAAGATGTAGTTATCAAACAATTTGTAGTCTACTTTATACCTGTTTTCTGGATTTGTCCATGTTAAGTGCCATATTTGTCCATCTTAAGTCACGTTATCTTAGTTGAATTTGACCGTAGCTTACACAAGGCACATTTGTTAAATTTAGATACATATTTACATATTTCATTACCTAATAGGTTTAAACTAAAAACTGTAAAACGTTTTTTGTTTGATCTTATTGTTCTTCATGTCACTTTTTATACAACATAGATTATAGTGTTTATTGTTCATCAGAAATATGAATGGTGAAATCAAAAGAAACGATTTTTCCCACCTTTCCCACCTATACTGCCCTCTTAGCTAAAAGGGCTCTTTATAGTATAGAACATAGCCAATGCTGATGCTAAATAAAACCATTTTAAAAGGTTCTTTTAAGGGTCTATATGCTACATTTTTCTTATATTTATTTTTTTCCCCTGAGGTCAATCTGTGTAGTTTTTATGGTCTTAATTATTTTTTATATGGCCATTTTCCAATGTCCCTTACAATTAAACAGGCTGTGTTACTGTGCCTTTCAGACTGAAATATGTGAATGATTTCAGTTCTGGCTTCATGTGCTGTATTGTGCCTCATTCAAAAAGCATTCTGGGCTGAAATAATCTTTATAACTTCAGAGTAAGTGGGTGCTGCTGTAGACTGAATAAGTGTATGTATGTATGTATGTATGTATGTATGTGTTGGCTTTGTGACATCATAAAAAAATAAACTCAAAACAGGCCATTTTTGCAGCTTACTTGTTATATATGGACCGTACAGACTGGGGAGTGAAGGGTACGTTTAGAAATTTTAACAGTGATTACTAGGGGTGCGGGAAAAAAACGATTCTTAGATGCATCGCGATGCGGACGTGAACGATTCTGAATCGATTCCAATGCCAAATGCCAAAAATCGATTTTCTGAATATTTAATTTATAACGTCGACGGAACGTAAAAGGCGGAACTTGGAAGTGGGTAAGTGCAGCGCCCGGACATTCTGTGGCGGCACATAACAAAAACACACATGGATGAGCGAGAAATCCGACCGGCTCCCTCTGCATTAAAAGCCAGGTTAGGTCAGGAGTCACAACCCAAATGATAAGAAGAGACGTTTTGTCCTTTCAACAAAAATCAAACCACCTTGGGAGCCGCAACATTTAATGTCCAGTATGTGTTAATGTCCTAGTATAGGCTACACAATATAAACGAGAGCGCAGATTTACTTCGCTCTGCTTTAAGCTTCAGCTACAGCCGCTTTCCTCCCCTCTCCCTCCGGAACTTTTCCTCAAAAGTTCAATAATTTCTTCTAAAATGTCTCTCATTGTTCGACTGTTTTACGAGGCTGAAGTCGCTTCTCATTCTCCAGCTTCTCGTTCGAAATTACCCGTTCCTTAAATTCTTTCCGAGGCGCCAAATGTAACCTAAATGCGGCACCATTAAGGTGGAACGGGAAAATTCGAAAGAGAAGCGACTTGATCTTCGCAACTTTTTAGCGTTTGACCGTCTGTCGCTGCAGATTTAACGTACCAGGAAACCAACTGCGCTGCTTATAAATGCGAATAACGCATCGTTGCTATGTGACCTGCAGTCTGCACTGTTGCGCATGTCCTGTCTCGAAGATATTTTACTGACACAGCGATCCCCCCCTGTCTCTACAACGAGACCAAAACCGAAGTTATAAAATCACTGAATTAAACGGGTAGGGACGGCTGTAACGCGCTGCGTGGTCATCCATTACCACTGGATCTTATCTCACCGTAACTGCGCATTTTATCGCAGATGAGTGGCAGCAGCGTCTCATGTGCTCCAAAGGCAGTGAATGAAAGTCTTCTAGTTCACTTGCCACATCACTTCCATTTGTTTTATTAATAAAAGATATTGGAAGTAAATTCATTATGGATCATTACAAATACTGTTTTAAAAGTACCAAGTCCTCACACAGTAGGAAAATAGAAACGCTGTATAGAAAAAAAGATGCATCGAGATGCATCGATAATCGTTTTATAATCGCATCGCAGCCCTCTGAATCGTAATCGAATTGAATTGTGAGGTGCCTAGAGATTCCCGCCCCTAGTGATTACACAACAAGCTCTTTTATTTAAAAAAGGATTTGGGCACTTAAAAAGAACATACTGTAGTATCTCAATTTTCTGTAATTTGAACACAACAGCTGCCCTTCACATTGTGTGAGCATTTCATATGGATTAATAAAATGGCTCAAAATTACCTGTAATTAAATCTCTTTACAATTTTTGGACAGCAATCATGTACATTCAAATGGCCTTTGAGTTGTCACAGTTCTGTATATAACCTTCGCATTTACTAAAGAGCCTATAAAGGACCCCCTTTTTAAAGTGTAGTATTATATATCATTCTGATATAAGGCTTATGGTGTAATATGTGCAGAATGGTGAGGATTCAAAGAAAGAAACAGCTCCAGGCCACCACAAGACCAGCCACAAGGTTTTGCAATGCCTTACACAGTGAATATGGCCAGCATTCATACTGATACATTCCAGTGGGGTCAGTATCATGTAGGCATTGTTACTATTCAAAGGCATCCTTTGTTGCAGTTTTGGCAAGACAAACCAAACTCTTGTATCTGATAGCTTTGCACCTTCTGAGCTTGCCAATGAATTTTGGCCACACTGACAAATTTCACCCAGGATGGATAATTGTTGCATACTTCTAAAAAATCTCACATACAGTTTGAACCTCAGGCTTGTCTTGCTGCCTAATGGTCTCGCTGTCCTTCCCCCTCCTTTCTCTTTTCTTTCTTTCAAACGTACACTCAGAGGTAAGCTCTCTTATCTCCCAGCCCCTGACACTGCTTCATGAAATACTCAGAGGAATACCCATCAGGCCGAGAGTGTGCAACCTCTCAGTTTCCATTCCCTCCTTTTAGAAACATGCTATATCTCTGCCTCTGCCTCTAACTCTCTTGTTGGGTTAATCCTCTTACAGTTTGCAGGATGAGGCTGATCAAATAAACACAAACAAGGCCTTGCATGGGTGGGAGCCCCTCTGCAGCTTAATGGACTTCGGAGAATAGCTAACAGCAGCCTATTGTGTATAGAATAATTGCACTTTCCCCTGCTCTAGCCCTCCCCAAGGACGTACAGCAGGCCTTTTAAAATAAAGCACTGAACTCATTTCTCAGAGTTATAGATGCTGGATTCTCAAATGATGGTCATTTTCTCTGATTAGCAGAAAGTTATTTGGACCAACATGAGTCTACTGCAGCAATTATATGTCTTCTCAGTGTGGAAGAGGTTGTTACATGGCAGAGTAATCACTGGGACTTGAGAAATATACTAGTAAGAAGTTTCAAACTTTCAGATCCAGCTGGCTCTATATAATGATTAGTGTGTGCAGTTATTGTAGCTGTTAAGAACTGATTTCTTACACATACATACAGTTTGTCAGACTCCTTTGGAATTAAAAATGTCTCAAAATAGTAAGTGGTAAATGTCAGCTTGAAAAAGCCTTTGTTGTGGTAATGATCCACATATGTGATTCTTCTGTGATATTCATCACTTTTTCTGACTGAAGTGAACTTCTTTGGCAGGTGTATTGTCAAATGTGAATTCCAGTCCTTTAAAGGGAAATTCTACCATTTTTTTTTCAATTTCCTGCATAATTCAATAACTAAGATGCAAACGGTCATTCAAAGTGTTTTGATGTGAAATGCTGTGTTTTAAAGAAACTTACCAGAGTCAGAATTGTTTACAGTGGTAGTGATGGGAACCAGAAGCTCTTGATGTCTCTAAAAGCAACCTCACAGAAAGCTACATTAAAAATATTTACAAACATGTTGCCTGATAACTGAGACAGTGATTTATTGACAGTTTTGAGTTAAGATTTTGCCTTAAAGAGCCTCAATCTTTAAAAACTGAATTTACCATTTTTTGTTTAAATAAAAGTTTGATGTAGTATGTAATCATTGTTAAAATGATGAAATTAAATGTATCCTTCACTCCCCAGTCCATATAATCCATACATGGAAAATAAGCTGCAAAAACGACCCGTCTTGAACTGATTCTTTTTATGATGTCACGAAAGCCAACGTATTTACATGTACCCACCCATTTAGCCTTTAGCAGTTTAGCTCCGCCCACTCACACTGAAGTTATAAAGAGTGTTTCAGCCCGGACAACTTTTTGAATGAGGTACAATACAAGGCAGCCAATCAGAACAGAGTTCACTTACAAATTACAGTCTGTTTGATTCTGATCCATTCATGGCAGAGAGGTCAAGGCCAAAAAGGCACCCAAAGAAAACTCATTTTTATTTTCAGATTTATCGTTAGTTTACCATTATCAACATTACATATAAATGTCAGAAGACACGTGAAGGTTCACTAATCTTTTTGGGTAGTAAATAATATGGCTACCTTGTTGACACTGACCCTGGTTTCTATTACCACAGCTGTAAAAAATGAAATGAAAATCTAACTCAGTAAGTTCATCTACAACGCACCGTTTCATGTCAAAGCTAAGAATGACTTTTTCTTTTTCTGCATGTCAAGAATTGAAAAAAGCTGTACGTAACATACAATTTGTCAGACATCCATCTAAACAGCTCTTGATTTGAGACTGATAATAAAAGAGCGCTAGATGTCGCGCTGGGCTGCATCCGCAAGCAAAATTAATTCAATTTTGGAGTTTGAAGATGTGAATTTAGAGGGATGTCCTCCACCGTTTACTGAAAAATACAACCTACCAAACTTTTCACTGGTCTTAAAATAACAAAATCTCGTCATAAGGAGAAGAATATATTCCTTTTTTCCGATGGCAGAATAAATATGAGCTTTCTTTACATACTTTACGGTAAAGTCTCTCAAACTCTCGCGATTCCTGACCAGAGAGCGGAGAAGAGGAATGATATGACATCTTGTAAACAACACAGACAGAAGTAGCTAACGTGGAGTTAAAGGTAACTGTCCGCCGAGAATACTGTAGATAAACATTTAGCAGAACAGCCAGTTTTCTGTGGAATTGAGGTACTGGGTTTCTTTTTTCCGTACATATTTTATAGCAGCTCCAAGACCTGATTAAGCTCCAGGTTGCAGCCAGCTGTGCTATCCTAGTTTTCATTGACGGTGCGGCTGCTGTTTCGTTTGCCGTCAGAGCTAGTCATCTTTCTGATATCCGAAATGTGATGTTTAGCAATACAGCAGCTAACAGTTTACAAGACAGACTAGTTCGTAAACAGACCTGCATATATGCTTATTATTATAACCATATAGCCAGACATAATTAACGGTGGTAGGTTTCCTTCACTCAGGTGTTGTAGGTGTGTCGCGTACGTTACGTTAGTATTTGCTAGTAATGCTACCAATGTGGCTGCTGAGACGTGCTGCACATACAGCGCTCTCTCCTTTCTTAATGGATGTACTTCATTAAGACATCATTAATAAATTATGTTAGTCGGTCCTCATTCTCCCCAGAAGGGAAGGACGCATGTTTCACACATTTAAGTCGAGTGTTTTCAAATAAATATAGCTCGCTGCTGATGTTTCTTATGTTTGTGGATAGTAGTGAATAGCTGGATCAAGTGTGGTTATAGCTGGACTAAGTTAGCTAGGTTATAGTTTCTGAAGTTTCTACAGAGTCAGGGTTTGGTTCATGTCGATGACCATAAATATGACCCTAAAACCTGCTCATACACCTTTTCCTCCAAAATCAAAAGTTCCTTCTTTTGCTGCTGTAACAGCTTCTGCTTTTCTGGGTAGGCTTTACACTAGATGTTGAAACATGGGGCCTCATTCACCAACCATTCTTAAGAATAAATTTCTTCTTAAAACCTACTTAGGCAGTTTTCTCAAAGATTCTGACATTCACCAGTTTCTTCTTATTTGGGATTTGTTTCTTAGGTAAAAACAGAATCTACGCACAAAGGTGTGAATGATTCTACAGTTTAAGAACACCTCATGAATCTGATGACTGTTTCTTAGGACCTTTCTCAAGAACAAATTTAAGAAAAACCATAGGAAGATATTGGCAAATGAGGCCATAGGAGCGTTAGTGAGGTCAGGTCCTGATGTTGGATGATTAGTTCTGGATTGCAAACACCACTCTAACTCATTCCAAAGGTATTGGGATAGCCCAGTGCTGGAGGGGGCATTTGAGGCTAGGCACTGGCTTAGTGACCTTAGGCTCATGTGTGGCTCCTCCAGAGCATCCCATTCCATTGGCAATGCATTTCTATGGAGACTATGCAAGTCGTGCAACTGATTGATTAAAGTAGCTGAATTCACTAATTATGGGGTCTGTCTGTATACATTTAGACATAGTATATTTATAAATTGCTATAAGAATGATATATTCATGATCATATTTGATGAGAAACCTGAGCAGTGCATTGTAAAGTCTTGTTTTTGTGTGTCCTTTTCCCTTCTATTCTCTCTTTCACACTTATTCACCTTCACTCACAGCTCATGACTACACATGTCCATTCTAACATGCTCGTTCAGCTCTATCACATGTCCATAATCTCAGGTTGGCTCTGTCTTAGGTATGCCACTGTGTGACGCTGAGTAGCCACCTGCCACCGTGCCCCCTCCCCTCTGTCCCCATGACAACCCCTCCGCTTGCCCAGTTCCCTGGGCAACAGGCACAAGCCGCGCGGGATGTGAACACGGCGTCGCTGTGTCGTATTGGGCAGGAAACCGTGCAGGACATAGTCCTAAGAACCATGGAGATCTTTCAGCTACTTAGAAACATGCAGGTAAGCACAGTATGTCATTATGATTATGGATGAAAAGACGTGACAAGTAGAGATGTGCAGGTCAGTTGTTTTCCCCCTGCATGCTTGGATCTGAACATTCCTGCATGTACCCAGCTGACTATGAAATTATAAAAATAACAACAACCTGGACCTAACCTGAACTCTCTTGATAAAAATACACTAAAAAACAAAGAACCTTTTTGAGAAACATTTATGAAATGCACTGCTTTTCTGTTTGGTAACCACCCTTCCCATCACTGAGGACAAGAGTTTGACTTTTTTTTTTACATTAACGTTTTGTCTTGTTAGTATTGTTTTTATTATTTATTATTCATATATTATTATTATTTATCTCAAATCTTCTTTCCTGCCTACTCCCAGCTGCCAAATGGGGTCACCTACCACCCTAATACTCATCAGGACCGGCTGGGCAAGCTACAGGAGCACTTGCGCATGCTGTCTGTACTTTTCCGCAAACTGCGCCTTGTCTATGACAAATGCAACGAGAACTGCGCTGGTCTTGACCCTGTACCTCCCGAGGTTAGCAATCACTTTTATGCTGTGCCAGGTCATTGTAGAAATGATAGCTGTTGATAGCACAGGCCTTGAATAGCCTTGTTGGGTAATACCAGAATAAGTGTAGTCAAAAATGATTTCAGTGTAAGAAACAATTGCTTACTTGCAGTCGGTTTCATACAGTGACATATCAGTACTGCTGTGTCTTACTGTTTCCATTTTTATGCAGCTAAATTTATGTGGACAAACAGCTTATGTGTCTTGGTGAAAAAGTCAGAGGTGTGATCATTTATAATGTTGAGTTTAAAGTAGGTGAGAAAGAATGTTTTTAATTCTCTCCATTCTTCAGGGACTTTTGTTGCGCACAGGACCGCAAGTGTTTATGTACCAGCTTCTGATTAGTACAGCTATTGATCTCCTGGGAGAAGGGTTTGCCCCTGGTTTATCTTGCAGTCTTGACTTAAAAGCACAGTTTTCATCAGTTTAATCAAGTTGTTTTTGTTGTCTTTTTTTGGTCTGTCTGTCTATTCACAGCCATTCTGAAATTTGCTCCAGACAGCATTCGAATGCATACAGCAGGCAAAAGCAGAGAAGATAATGTGTTTACATTATGTATTAGGTGGGGATCACTTATGGAGAATGTGTTCTGAATTATGTGTGAATGAATACCAGACAGTCACAACATCTGCTGAATTCTGATGTATTGTATCAGAAGTACAACATATATATTTCACATTTGAAAGTCAGTTATTCTTAGAATAGTGGACATTTAGTCAGAATAGTGGACATTTTGTGGCCATTTTAGTCTTTTAATTATTCCCTTTAGTCTTGTACAAGGGATTCTAGTCCTGTTTTTGTTTAGTCCTAAAAAGAGATATGGAAAGGCATGACTGACACTTTTGAAAGGCGGTCTTTAAAGGTATATTCAAAGATTTACATTCACCCAGTCCGCTGGAATCTCCGTCATGTAACTTCTTCTCTTGGATGTTTATGCTGGCTTGGCTTCTGCTGTTTGACTTCAGGTGCTCCATCAATTCTTCTGGAGCTTCTGGACCTGTCTCTCCAAACAGGAAGTGGGATAATGGAGGCAGCAGCATTACCTCATCACGGCTCTAATTAGCCGCAGCTCTCTGTACCGAACAGCTGGCAAAGCCGCTCGCATCAGCGTTTTCCACTGCGAGCAGTCACTGGCTCCTCAGTGCTCTGGAATTTCCTGCACTGCATAAAAAAGTCAATGTCATTTCATTTACCGCTCAACTTTTTTTCCATCCGTTTTCTCCCCCTCAAAGTACAGAGACTGGGCAGACCTCATTGAGTCATTCTTTTCTGTCAAGCAGCAAACCACAGCCATCCCTCATTGTCCAAATTATGAGTAACATGCCATCGTTTTGCTCCTTTTACCACAGCCTGCTGCCAGCACACAACTCCTACTTTGAAAACTCTATATGGGTTTGGCTGGAAATTCAAGTTGTTTTCTTTGTCCTCGGCTTGAATTTGTCATCCCTAACAAGAACGGAGTTCATTCGATCTCAGGCTTTTGCCTTTGTCCCTTCTCTGTCAGCTGCACCAGTCAGCCGGTTCTGGTTTGCTGCACTGACTCGATAAACCTGCCAGAGGCTTTTGGCTATTTTTTTTTTCTTTTTCTCTGCTCATATGATCTGATTTTTTCCCCTCTCGGCTGCTCGGCTGGCATGTGACAGCACGAAAGCTGTAAAGGCTGGCCTCAAACCCACAGGCCCACAAAAATATGAGCGATTATGCTGACACTGAAATGTCAGAATTTTTGTTCTACCTTATTCATATGGCAAAGCATTTCATTGAGTGCTAGATAAATAATGCATAGCATTGTGGGCAAACATATGTGTTATAGCATGTCATGTAACAGAAGCTGTGTATTTTTTAAAGGTTTGGTACTGGTTTTACCAACTTTCCTATGAATATTTATATCAAGAATCTGCATCTTGAGTTGGAACTGACTTTGAAATTGAATAAAATGGATTTAGTTGTTGTGGCTTACCATAAATGCTGAACCTGGGCTTGCCTGACAGTTGTAAATTCATCTTCACTGTGGATTATTTGAATTGATTTGCTGGAAGAGAATTACTGGCTTTTGTTTGAAATATACTCTTGAATGCTGTTTCAGCAGGCAACACATTCTATTAGTCTAGGCTAGAGCAGCTTTCATACCCTGCATGACATGCTCATGTATCTCTCTGTGAGTGCTAGACTGTAGCATCTTTGATTCTGTGCACCAGCAGGTGTCAGTGTTATTTAAGCAGAGGTGACACTCTGCACGACTAATATTGACCATTTGTCAAGGTCATCTCAGGATGGAACTGTTTACAAAAAGAATGAATGGTTAGGAGGCTGATGTGAAACTGGCTGAAACAAACCCTGGATGGAACATGGAATAATATGGCAAAGTAATTGGAACACTGTGGACAAGCTGTGGCTGAATCCAAGGCTGTTCCAAAGCTACAGTTACCATATTTGAAATTGGTTATTTGAAGGTTCTGTGGTAGATAAAGTAATAGAAAAACTGTATCAAAAGAAAAAAAGCTATATTGTGTGTTGACTAAATAGAATATATTTATATATGAATTTATATATGTATATGTATGTGTGTGTATGTCACCCAAATGTTCTGCATTTCTGGAGCACAATAAATTCATAATCAAATAGCAGTTTGAAATATTGGGAAAATCTAAATTTCTGTCTGATGCTAATATTTTTTTCTCTTTAAGCAAATATCTACAGATACTGAAAGGATTCCTATATCATTGTGCATCACTAATTATAAAGCAGTATGTACATGTGGTTCCTGTTAATATGAATGCCAATGTGTTACTGTTAAGGTGGACTGAATGGTCCTATGAAAGAGCATTTTTTAAGCAGTACTATATATTTTAAGCAATACAAGACATTAATCAGGTCATGGAAATTGGATTCCCAGCTAATGTAGAAGCAGCAAAAAATGCAATGTGTCAAGACATACCCTGCCTCTGACAGCATATTCAAACAAAGAAATGTTGCCTCAGGAAGGAGGACTGAAAGTTGAAACTCACTGACAGGGTTACATGGACACTTCAATAATATAATATAAAGCATAGAAAGACGGCATTAGAAGGACCGCAGAATTAAGCCTGAACCATTCTGAGCCGAAACTGTGCGTCATTATTTTTTCCAAAATCTGATATTTATGATACAGTTGCCATTTGGAAACCACTTGTAAGCAGAGCCTGTGTAATGACCCCCATACTTCTCATTTCTTCTCTTTTTTTCTACATCTGGATGAAGAGTCAACCCCTATTGCTTTCATATATTCAGTGTGATAGTGGGTCTGTTGCTGATGAATGATTCAATTTTCCAGTATACATTGTTCAGAATGTGCATGCCAGCAATCTAAGGGCAGAACTTTCTCTTAAGATAAAAGGCTGATTTCTGATGTATCCTTAATTTAAAATGCATTTACATCTGCATAAAATATTGGTGAAAGGATCAGTAGAGGCTAATTTCAAGAAAATGTTCCTCACTGAATTCTCTTTATGTATCTAACATGGATTAGCAAATGTGAGGAGATCTTAATGTTGTAGACAATTGAGTATACATCCATACAGACTCATTTAGTTTGTCCATTAGGTTACATTGATTTCTGTTTTTCTCTCTGTTGCAGCAACTCATCCCCTATGTAGAGGATGACAGTTCAAAACTAGATGACCGTGGAGCCAGTCAGATGCGTTCAGCCAGTGAGGAGAGAAGAGAAGTACTTGAGGTCAACAAGGTCAGTACAGTCTCTTCACAACATCTTTGTGCTCTACAGTAAGTACAATACAGTCTGCTGTACGATACATGCCTGAACCCAACTAAACTAAACCCTGTTTCCCAAAAGCTTCTTAGATCATCTGCCATTTCTACCATTTACTCGCTTTGCCATTTAAGAATTGTCTTTGTGCTAAGATACTTTTGGGAAACCCAACCATGATCAGTTTCTATTTGTACCATCCTGTGTACCACCAAACTGTGCCGAACTGAACGATCCATCAGTGTCTGTGAAGAAATCTGACCTGGTGGTCCAACACAACATTTTTTTTCTTTATTTTAATAAAGAGAAAGGCAAGTGTTCCTGACTGATGCCATGTTCTGCCTGGACATGTTTAACCATCACCATGGTCTCATTTAAAATGAGCTGCATTCGTGAAAGCAGGCGAGGCAGCAGGGTTTCAGCGCCATGAGCCCTGGAGCTTTGGGCTGGCCAAACGGCCAGCTGCAAATTACATGCTGGATGAGGAGAACATGTTGGGGGAATAAGGGATGGGGAACTCAGGGGAGGTCAGCGACGCAGCAGAATGTGGGGAGCAGATGTTAGCCGCTTCGCTGCATCTGTCTCTTCGGGCACAGCCAGTTATGCTTTCAAGCATGAGAGGAATGATGGATGGATGCATAGATGTATGGATGGATAGATGTTTAGATGGAATTTTTACATGAGGACATAAAAGTAGCATAAAATTTATGTAAATAATCCAATAAAAAAGAAATTGGAGGAAGTTCTTTTCTCAGGGGTCAATTTATATGATATTATTAGAGTTTTATTTCATTTCACAAAGTCACAAATGCAGTAGTTTTTGTGATTTGCTTTGTTGCTAATCAGGTTTTAATCCTCCTGAGAATATTGTTCAAACTGTCTGTGTGGTAATTGCTTTTTTTCTTTCAGCAATAATATACACTCACACATTCATACATTCTTAGAAACACCTGTATACCTGCTCATTCATGCAATTATCTAGTCAGCCAACCGTGTGGCAGAAGTGCAGTGCATAAAATCATGCAGATACGGGCCAGCAGCTGTAGGTAATGTTCATATCAACAATCAGAATGGAGAAAAATTTGATGATTTTGACCATGGCATAATTGTTAGTGCCAGACGGGCTGGTTTGATTATTTCTATAGCTGCTGATCTAAGGGATCTTCACACACAACAGTGTCTAGAGTTTACTCAGTATGGTGCATTAAAGGAAAAAACATCCAGTGAGTGGCACTTCTGCATGAGGAAGTGCCTTATTGAGGAGAGAGGTTAACGGAGAAAGGCCAGAATGGTTCAAGCTGACAGAAAGGCCATGGTAACTCAGATAACCACTCTGTGCAATTATGGTGAGCAGAACAGCAGCTCAGAACGCAAAACACGTCGAACCTTGATGTGGATGGGCTACAACAGCAGAAGACCACATTGGGTTCCACTTCTGTCAGCCAAAAACAGAAAGCTGAAGCTGCAAGGTACAGGCTCACCAAAACTGGAGAGCTGAAGACTGAAAAAGCATAGCCTGGTGTGATGAATCTTAATTTCTACTGAGGCACACAGATGGTAGGGTCAGAATTTGGTGCCAACCTCCCTTGTCAACAGTCCAGGCTGGTGGAGGGGGTGTAATGGTGTGGGCCCATTAATACCAATCACTCATCGCTTAAATGCCACAGCCTATTTGAGTATTGTTGCTGACCATGTGCATCCCTTCATGACCACAGTTTACCATCTTCTAATGGCTACTTTCAGCATGATACTGCGCTCTGTCACAAAGCAAAAGTTGTCTCGGATTGGTTTCTTGAACATGACAATGAGTTCAGTGTTCTTCAGTGACCTTCCCAATCACTGGATCTGAATCCAATAGAACACTTTTGGAATGTGGTAGAACAGGAGATTCACAGCATGAAAGTGCATCTGAAAAATCTGCAGGAATTGCATGATGCAATCATGTCACCATGGACCAGAATCTTCCAACATCTTGTGGAATCCATACCATTCTCAGTGAAATGTGTAATACTGTAATTTATAATTTATTTGTGAAAGTAATGAGAATTTCGTAGTTTCAAAATATTCTTATATCTTGTGGGATGGTTAAAAGATCACAGTTTTGGTTCTTGACCTGAAGCACACCATACAATTGCACGATTTGTTAAATTTCACCACCCTTAGTATTTATAAAGTGTGATTTATTTAATGAAGTACTGATTACCTAAAGCAGATTTTGGAAGGTAAATATAAATAGTGGTCTGCTGCAAAGAGAGGCCTGGAAGCGGTTTAGCTAACACACTGACAGACATAAACTCACAATGTATTGTATAAACATTTATTCGTATTTATTCTCTTAGTACTTCTTCTCAGGTGGCCTAAAACTTCTGAACACTTCAGACACTATATGTCACTCAGTTATGCAAATACTTTTAATAATTCTTAATAATTGTGCTGGCTTGTTTGTCTAACACTGTCCAAAACTTTTGGCTCCATGTTGCTGCACAGTCTCTTTTGATTTCGTGCCGTGGTGTCTTCCATGTTGGCTCTAAACATGTGACACCATATTTGTGGACAATGAGCGTGATCCAGACCACAGGTTGGGCATTGTGGTATGTATGGTAATGTCCTGCTGCTTTCTGGGGCATGCTGGCTTTGAATGATGGTTCTGTCCTCGTTATCTGTCGATTGGGGTAATTGCTGTTTGTCATGAGGTAGATGAAATATGGCTTTTCAGTCTGCTGAGCAGTAGAGTGGCCTTTGTCTCTGTGACTGTTCTCATCTTCACACACACACACACACAGCGTCCCCACAGGCAGGTACGTGAGTGTTTTCCCCCTTTGCATTTGTTAAGTTTTTCACCCCACTTCTATCAGTAGATTAATAGTGAACGTACAGCTGTTGCTTCAAGGACTCCTCAGAATTTCTTTGCAGTGAAGCTGGGTGTCTCTTGGTTTTTAAAAAGGCTTAAATTGAATGAATTTAAGGTTTTATGTAGTCTTTTGGTATTTTCTCCTGATGTCTTTTATAAGAAACCATGTAAAGTCACTGGATGCACTGTGTGATGTAACTGTCAACAACGGTGATTACCAGTGTAACCTGTTTAACCACAAATTTTAGCATTTATAGATGATGCTGAAATGGTCACCAGGATTCCATCTTTGTTCAGTTGACTGTGTCAACTTTTGTGTCTTAAATTGCCTTGATTTGTTGTGTTGGTTAAACTGTCTCAAAGGAATGGTTCTTTAGTTTTGCACTGAAGCTACAATGTAGCGAACAAGTAACTGAAGACTTCTTGTGTGATGGACTTCTGTAAGCTGAAGTGCAAATCTAAAGAAGCAAACTTCAGATGTGAAACGTGTTGGCAGATTGGGAAAATTGTTTTAATCCAAATTAATGCTTTAAATTGAATTTGCCTAAACCTACAGATAGCCTAAGAGTAGCCTCATAAAACACTAAACACAAACAAACAAAGCTGATGTACAGCTCCAGTGCCAGCAGAAGTGAAAGCGGTTCGGTATTGAGCTCTGGATGACAATTTATAGCAGTACCTGGGCTCAGAGATGGTAAACCTGTCAGACCTTCCCACCCACTAACCCTCATGCAGGCCTCGAACTCCTCCAGTGTGGGAGGTGGTCCCTGTGGCCCCGACTCCCCAGCGAGAGGGCCATCGTCCTTGCTGGTGCTGTGGTGGCGGGCTGTGTCTCGTCGGAGCGGGGCGGTTTGATTTAATACCGCTCTAAGTGTGAATAAATTCCTGTCACAGCCCATTAAGAAGGCCTTGGAGAGATCATGGCTCTTATTAATTCTCCTGCGTGCCTCTCCGCTCTCCGCTCTCTCACTCCGTCCCTCTCCCCTCCGCCTGCTTTTTTTAATACCCTGTTAATTACCGTGTCTGTCCTCTTTATTCAAATGAGAAAGTGAGATATTATGGAGGAGAATGTTTGTAATTTCAAATAGGACCCTCCGAAACGGCCGGTGGGCACATAATGAGCAGCAGTGTTGGCGGTACGGCAAGCACGGGTGTTATCGCTGGAGCAGTGCTGGGGCTGGGGGAGCATGCAGGAGCGCTGCCGCTGATAAACAAACACACACACACACACACACACACACACACACACACACACACACACACACACACACACACACACACACACACACAGCATCAGCCATAATGAGACCCTGGCTTGTCTCAGCCCTGGCTTGTGTTGGCCCACACGCGCATACACATACACACGTTTGTGCACATTCTGTGGGCTAACAGCCTGCTAGCAGGAGGTGCCCAATTCTCTACATGATTAGCCAGTTCATATGTCGCCCATTAGAGTGGGTTTGCCGAGTAGAGGCTTTTTTAATTGGTTTGTAGAGCGTGAATGGAGAAAGTACACCATGTTCAGAGCATGAGGGGAGGACATGCCTTGGAATTAGTCTACAGCATTTAAGGTGGAGGACATGAATCTGGTTTGCATTTATTGTGTCATTGTGTACTTCGTAGGCTGGAAGCAGTTAAAAGCAATTGTTCAAGCAATCCTGATTACTTCAGGACTTAACTGAATCCTCAGGAGGTCTGTTATGTATTGCTAGAGGAAGCCAAGACTGTTTAGATAGGGATTATTTCTCTTTGAAGGGCACATGTGGAAAACTGACTTTTCCTTGCTTTTTGAAATAAGAGTTTGATGAAGTATGTAAACATTGGTCTGTTTTGAAACTTTAATCTTTTGCACCCAGTCTGTACAGCCTGTATATGAAAACAAAGTGGGAAAACAGCCTGTTTTAAATTTTCTGTTTCTGTGATTTCACAAAAATGTACAGACTTAATATACCCACAAATTCAGTCTGCAACATGGTGATTGACTTTGAATGAAATGCCTTCTTCGTTAATGTGCCCAGCTCAGATTTTTTTTATTTCCCATAACAGAGGAAAAATTAAAATGAGATTTAAACTGGAATTACTGCTCGTTTCACCCTCACAGATATCTGCTGCTCTGTCTCTTTTTCAT